GCCCCACCGCCGAGCGGGCCCACGGGAGGCCGCCACCACGCACGGCCGGCACGCAAAAGCCTGCTGCGCAGTGCCCCTTCCCTACTACCTTTGGGGGCCTCTGCTGCTTTCTGCCCCCTGGACCGGGGCAGCTTCTGTCCTGTGCTTCACAGGAGGGAGTTCAGGGCTCAGGGGTGGTGCCTCCTACAGCCGGGAGGAGAAACAGCCACAAACCCTCCCCCGGCCCCCCAGTCTGAGAGTGGCCTTGCGTTTCTCAGGAGCGTGCTGGACCCCGAGGGCATGTCCAGGCACATAAGTCCAGGGGCATTTGTGCCTGTGCAGTGAGGTGGTGCAGCAGGCATGAAGAGTCAGAGAAATCCGGTGGCCTCTCAGCTCTGCCACCTCTAGCTGCATGACCTTGGGCAAGTTATTTAACCTCATTTGCCTGATCAGTAAAACATTGTGAAGATGACTGTTTGTAAAGCTCTTAACATACTAAGTAAGCATTCAATAAAGTTCAATTTTCCCCTTCTTTCCTGGACATCTTTCTTTCTTTCTTTTTAATATGGGGAGCTCTACCTGAGGAGCCCATGGTGGCCTGGAAGAACTTGAAGTCCTCCTGCCTCAGCCTCCTGAGCAGCTGGGACTTACAGGGGTATGCCACCACAACTGGCTTCTCCTGGACATTTTTATTGTTTTCTCTTTTTTTGCAGCTGGGTCTGGCTATGTAGTTTAGACTGTCCTTGAGCTCACTGTGTAGCCCAGGCTGGAACTTGTGGCAATCCTCCTGCCTCAGCCTACCAAGTGCTGGGATCACAGGCATGGGTCACCACACCCAGCTCTGTCCTGGAATTTTTTTTTTTTTTTTTTTTGTGTGGGGATTGAACTAACTCGGGACCTTGCACTTGCCAGACACAAGGTGGCACCACTGAGCTAAATCCCTGGCCCTCTGGACTTTTAAAGAAAACTCAAGATACTATTTCCAGAAACCACATTGTGTCTGCTCGTTTGAATAGCAGGTTTTCTGTCTTCCTCCTCTCCATTCTTGAACATCCATTCTCTCCTCACCCACTGACATCAGGCTCTTCTCACTGTACCACTATTACTACCAGTGCCCCTCCTCCTCCTCTTCTGAGACAGGGTCACCTCACTATGTAGCTCAAGCTGGCTTTGCACCCTTTGTGTAGCCAAGGTGACCCTCCTGCCTCAGCCTCCCTAATGCCAGGACTACTGATGTGTGCCACTACACCAGGTCAGCCACTGCTCTTAAAGTTTTCATTGATATATCTCATCTGATCTCACGTTTTTTGTTTTTTTGTTTGGTATCAGGGATCAAACTCAGGTCCTTGTGCTTGCGAGGTAGGCGGAGGAACCACTGTCTCACTTGATCTCAAGGCAGCAATTAACCCAGATATCACCATTTTTCTAAAGCTTTTCCCTCTCATCTTTTAAGATATCACACCATTTCCCCTGCTGCTGTTAACCCCGGGGTCTCCTTTACCAGCTTTACATTCATGCTAGATTGCTGAACACTGGCGGTCCTCAGACTTCTCTACAGTGAGGGTCTCACTCTGCAGCCCAGGCTGGCCTTGAACTCACTGTGTAGCCCAGGCTTTATTCACGGTGATCCTCCTGCCTCAGCCTCCTGAGTGCTACGATCACAGGTGTGTGCAGCACCATTCCCAGCAGCAATCCTATTTCAAAGGCACCCATGTTTTACCACCTCCCCCTACCTGGTTCCAGCCACCACCCTCACAGCAACCCCCAAACTGGTCTATTTCCACTCTTCCCCAGCCACCCATTCTTCACTCCTCAAGGGATGATGAACCATGTTCTGTCAAGGCTCTGCCTAAACCTGCTGGCTTCCCATTATATTTATAATAATCTCCAACCTGGTCCACTCTGATGCCATCAGTCTGCCTCCAGACCCCAGGACTTTTGCACTTGCCCTTCTGCAAGTTTGAAATGCTTTGCCCTGTGACTGGTGGGTTCATCTAAGTCAGGTCTTAGCTCCACTCTCACTGAGCACCCAACCCCATCCTGATCTCCCAACACTGCTCTCCATGGTAGTGCTGAGGCTTGAACCCAGGCCATAGACCCCCCAAGACAAGCATTGCAGGCACAGGCCTGCCTTGTTGTCTTGACCACTGAGCACTATTTATTTTTTTGTACCAGGGATGAACTTGGGTCCTTGCGCTTGCGAGGCAGGTGCTAAATCCCCGGCCTCACTGAGCATTATTTAAAATGATCCTGTAGGAACACTGATTTTATACAATGAAGTGTTGCTGGATTCTACAATTGAAAAGCCATCCAAAGCGGTTAAAAATAAAATTATCTTGCTTTTTGTTTATATATTTGTGTTGTTCTATAGAATGTAAGCTTCCAAGAGCAGGGACCTGGGCCCAGGATTTAGCTCAGTGGTTCTGCCGCCTGCCTCACAAGCGCAAGGACCCGATTTCGATCCCTATCCCTCGTGCAAAAAAAAAAAAAAAAAAGGGAAAAGGAAAAGAAAAAGAAAAACCAAGAGCAGGGACCTGCTCACTGCGCGGGGCCTGGAACACAGCAGGGATTCTACAGAGGGCTAAATTTCCAAAGTGGAAGAGCCGGATCCTGTAAAAAGGACTTGAGCCGGGCATGGTGGCGCACGCCTGAAACCCCAGTACCTTGGGAAGCTGAGGCAGAAGGATCACTGAGTTTGAGTCCAGCCTGGGCTACATAGCGAGTTCCTGTCTAAAAAGAGCGAAAGAAAGGGAAAAAACAAAAGGGACAAGAAAGGCTTCAGGACTTTCTGACTGTGGGCCGCAGAGATGCGCTGTCGTCGAGGCAGGGGAAAGGGAGTGGCACTGCCACCGCCGGAGATGGCGTCAGCTTGCAAGGCTTCTTGGATAATTCACCATAATAATACAGCCTCAGGCAGGGCTGCGCAGCCAGAATGACTGAGAGGGGTCGGCTCGAAGCATTGGATGTGCGGTGGTCGTGAAGCTTCCTGAGGACTCATTTCGGGAATCTGGCTCCGCTGGGGTGGGGCGGAGTCACGGTGGGAATTCAACCCCCTACTTAGTACCTGGGTGCCGTCCGCGACTCCGTCTTTCCTAGAGTAGGTCAGGAGTACGCTTCCGCTCCCATTGGGCTACAACTGCCGAGGGAAAGTTGTTCTCCAAGAGAACCAATGAGAAGTGCAGAAGGGTCCTGAGTCCCGCCTCCGGGCAAATAGCTATCTCCCTTTCCGAGCGAGGCCTGGCCCCGCCCGGCCGCTATTTTGCGGCTGCGCAGCTCTTTGCAGCTGGCGTCACCTCCCAAGCCGCCCGCCCCGCGCACTCGCCTTGGCCAGCTGCAGTGGGGTTTTCCTTGGCTTCCTGTTGGGGCTGCTGTTTCCCTGCGCCGACTGTAGGAGGAACGGAGGTTGTACGCTGCGGATCTTAAACGCTCCCCTCTCTGCGCTTGTGCTTAACCTTTTCATCTTTTTTTTTTTTTTTTTTTTGAGACAGGGTCTCACTATGTAGTTGAGACTGACCTGGAACTATGTGATCTCGAACTCACAGCGATCCTCCTGCCTCAGTCTCCTGAGTGCTGGGATTACAGGCATGCGCCACCACGCCCGGCTCCATCATTGTTATTAATTGTAGGGATTGTCTCATTTTACTAACAAAGAAGTGATAAAATCTTAAAGTCCCGTGCACTTCCTTTTTGCGGGGTGGAGAGGGAAGGTTTTATAGCTCATACCACTCCTCAGTGATTCCACAGTCACTGAGCTCTGGCTCAGTGCCGGGCGGTCGGGCTGGTCCCGGGGATACCGGCTCCTACCCTACCGGGATTAAGCATGGGGAGGTCAGTGGGCAACCGAAATAGCAGGTCACTGTCTTTAGGAGCTGGCGCCAGAGCAGACGTTAGATCATGTATAAATTTGATTATAACTGTGATCAGAATGGTAAAAGAAATGATAGGGCTGTGTGCCTGTGTTAAAGGAGTGTGTGTGTGTGTGTTTGAACCCAGAGCCTTTGCCCTGAGCTACATCCCCAGCTGCCACAACCCACCTCTTGGGACAGGGTCTCACTGTTTCAAGGTGGGGGATGGGGGAGCAGCCGGGCTGAACTTGTGATCCTCCTGCCTCGGCTTCCCAGAATGCTGAGATTACAGGCCCGTACCACTATGCCTATCTTGAAATTATGTTTTTGCCCACTGGCCTCACTAGAACATAACTGCAACAGGCCAGGGACTTTATCAACTTATTTGCTGCTGTATCCCCAGGATCTTTAACAGGGCCTTCTGCAGAACAGATACCCAATTCTTGTTTGCTCGGTGTGTGGACCTGACACTGCCTAGCAAGGGTTCCTGATCCTTCGTGGTGGCAGGAGAATGAGGCAGAAGGCAGTTGTGTCACGGCCGGGGCCTTCATGATGAGTGGTTATTCTTTTTTTTCAAGAGGGAGAGAGAGATGGGGTTCAAGTGTGTGCTTGGCATGCATGAGGCTCTGGGTTCAACCCCCAGAGGAAAAGGCAGGAAGTGCTGAGGACAGAGTAGAAGGGACAGTGGGGAGAGGTGCAGCGTGTTCTCAGAGAGCAGGTGACTGGAGCCTGTGGCGCAACTGAAGGCGAGACAGAGGTGAGGCTGGGGTATCCGCTCCATAGCCCTGCCAACGGCAGTGTGGGACCGAAGAGCGAAAGCAAAAGCAGTAGCTTCAGAAGTCTTGTT